CCTACAATAAACTAGGGAGTTTGTTCATCGTGCATAAATTATCATAGTTAGACAGATATACGTGTCAAATAATGCTAACATAATGCTAACATAATGATGAAATAAAGAAAAAATGACAAAATAATGATAAAATAACCAAAAAATAAAAATTCTAACAAAAAGAATGTGAACATAATGGTAAATGCTAATAGAAATGTTTTTGGCACTGGTCTCATCCCATAACATTATCTACATCGAATTTCTTTAATCAATAATAATCGTTACTACAGAATAAATTCAAAAACAATATAGTCATGATTTCTTAATGATCATTTAGTTCACAGACAATGGTTTGTTGGTATTTTTGAATGAGAATGGTGTCAAATATGCATACCCTAACCCGTTCGTAGACGGATTCAACTCTACGCAAACAACTCCTATGGTAGCAGTGTTTTGGGATGATGTTGACATCAGTGACCCATCTGTTGGCAATGTATATTATCAGGTAAAATATCTGTGTTATCTAAGACATTTAATTTGAAAACTATACTACATGTTCACAAACGACTTGCAATATATGAGTATCCAGAAATATGTGTATTTCATAACATTTGTAATGACTAATTTCTAGTTGATTGTGACTCCATGAATAAATATATAAAAAAAATAATAAAAAATGTTGACTCTTATTTTTACAACTACAGATTTATGAAAAAGAAAATGGTGGTTATATAAGTAACCGACACGAGCAATGTTTAATGCTGTCAATAAGCGTATACATAATGCAAAAGGAACGTACAACAAACCCTATTATTACGATTATAATTTTGAAAATTTTGAGGCTGAATGGATTCTTCTTGTTACTTGGGAAGCGGTGGCTGCAGTTCCTTCTGCGTACACTAAAGGCACGGTAGGTTATACATTGAATATATATAAATACTAGCAAGTATTCTTGTGTCACCTAAACACCATTCCTATAAATTATACACATATTAATAAATTAACCTTATCAGCCTAGTCAGGTACTGTTCTATGACTCAAATGTAACCACGCATCGACAAAGCTGCGTAACAAAACACGATTCACAGTCTTACCGTCTCATTCGTTAACAGCGGTGACTGTAATTTTTTAGTCCCCTTTCGAAGTCCGAAAATGGGGACTATTAATTTGGGTTCGTTCCGTCCGTCCGTCCATCCGTACGTCCGGTATATCCCGGACACCCATTGACGGATTTCATTCAAACTTTACATGTAGAATATACATTATGTCTTACATATTCGCGTCAAGTTACTTTATGATCAGAGAAAAATGGCCGACTGGCGGCCATTTTTGATGTGGTATTTGCTATTTCTTATACCTAAACGTGTCCGCAGCAGTTTCTCGAAGATGACTGGTTCGATTTGGATCAAAGTTGGTATGACGATCATACATATTGGGTTGTAGGTGCACGTCATTTTTTTTCGTGATTCGAAAATTTTGGACGGGGATTTGTGTCATTAACAATGACTTGTTATATACAGGATGACGCTCAGGGGTCACTCTGTATGCCGATACTACCCCATGTGCGTTCTAAATTTAGCAGAGTTGCTGCGCCCGTTGTAGGCCCCCTCTTGCAACAACCACTCTCATACACCGCCCTAGGCCCCGAATTGGCGGACCCATAAAACAACGAATGACACCAACATGAGTTGCATCCACAGCAATATCAGGTGGAAATTCTTCTCTCTGGGGTTCTCCACACGTGTCAGGGGGGAATATCGTCTCGTATCTCTATCGCGTCCCCTTGAGGTACGGGATCGGGAAAGTCGCTTAACCTTTACAGT